CCCTTTCTTTGTCAATGGTTCCTCTATTTATAGAGAAAAGGTTTGGAAGTTTAAACAAAGATGTGGCTTGGCTGAAACGTGAATATTAAGCTATGTCGGATTTTCAAATATCCCAAGGTGAAGTACTGAAGTTGTTGCTTAAAAGGGGCTGACTTCCCTGACTTATGGTGAAGTACAAACAGGATTTAAGCAAAGCATGGGCTTGGGAAAGAATTTGTACTTAGCAAGTTCACTTTCATGCAAAAAACTTCTGGACAAAGGCTTAATCGCCTGGACAATAGCTTAATCCAAAATGTAAGCAATTAATTATGGAGTGAAATACAAGCATTAAGGCTTGTAAAGTAAGATCACGTAGCAGGGTCCACAAATTTGATCAGTTGTCCTTTCAAAATCCTATTTTCCACTTGTGTCGAAGAGTTCTAGAAATGTACTAAAGAAGACTGCGTCGAAGGATTCAGAGTTGGGTTTGAAAGATGCTGATTCGAAGGGAACCAAAACTCCAATCGAAGCTTTTGTGTGAAGGTGGCTCATGTCCAATCGAAAGCTTTCCAAGGAAGTTGGTCGCATGACCATGTTACGACGAAACCCTTCCATGTTTCCGCAATGCTCGACGCAAGTATAGGTTTCCCTTCCTCTATAACTATAGACCAAACCTATTCCTTGAGGCTCCAGCCCGACCCAGGACTATGCAGGATCATCGATCATGTTGACCAGATGGACACCTTCATCGTCCACGCTCGTCTCTTTGACATTTACATGCTTGGACGATTCAAGAGTATCGGCTATTTAACCTGTAAAGCATAGGAAACCAGTGAATTCGACAGTAGAATCAAATACATCCTTCCACCGTGACACAGGCGAAAGGGGATGGTTGCGCCCAAACCAAGTTGACATTCACTCGTGCAGCGAGGAACATGCACGACCCACAATCAGTGCGTGGAACTTATGCAAATCTCGTGAGACCACACGACGATTATAATGACAAACGCATATCCCGTGAGAACCACAGGCAAACGATAAATATCACGAGCATATCCTTAAATACTGCAGACAAAGCATGAATTTTCCGAACAAACTCGTGAATTTTTCGGGGAGTACATAAATTTCTTGGGCAAATTCACGAATTTCGCGGGGGATAGATGAAGGCCACAGGTAAATTCATGAATTTGTCGGGCAAAAGATTAATATCACGGGTCCACTCGCAAATATTACGCATGAGTACATGAATATCCTGAGCAAAAACCCCCGGTTGCAAAATTGTATAAACAATCATCAATAAAGCCAATCTAAACAAACGATTATTGCGGAAAACACTTACTTGAACATAGTAGATGGAGAATACGCGACAGACTTAGCGGCGACGGTGACAGTTAAGAAAGGTAGAAGAAGGTGTTGACAACAGATAGAGTGGAGAGCGCGAAAAATTAAAATGTGAGAAGTGGGCCCTAAGGCGCTATATATAGAGCTGACGTGGATTTCGAAGCGTCGCGTTGGGCAGCCCACCAACCGCCCTTCTCCTCGACATCTACGCGCTCAGGTAATAATGACCCCTATTCCCTAGACCACCAGTACAGTCCCAAAGGTCACGCCACGTGGCTTCTCCCTGTCAGGTTTTATTTCCCCGCGAGTCGATGAACAACTAAAATGTCCCACATCGAGCCTATTCTGGATTTTGCTTGAGTACTAATGCGTACCAATGACGATTCCCATCAATACAATAAAAGATCCTCGATTGACTTATGCGCTCCTTGTAAAGGCAAAGGTGGACTTAAGTCATAACTCCTTCATCAGGAGCAACGACTTAGGGGGCTCCAGTTCTGGATTGAGCCTGCTCTTGGCCCAAGTCCATATAAGGTCCAACCCAAACGCGTCGTCTAAGACCAGCTGACCAGGTCAGCCCTCGATGGCGTCGGGCAATAATCCCCACTCTTTGAGAGGACGTTGCTTCGCCACATGGAAATGGACCTAGGAAGATGCGAGAAGGTGTATCATCGGGCAAGAGGACCTCGAGAGTATCCACCTGGCTTCTCCACGATCAAGGTTGTTCATCTCGCACGGCCTCGTGCAGACGGGGATCCTGCCCGATGGGTAGAAGTACCTCACGAGCATCCTCCTCGTAGGACCGACTATCAATGCCTCTGGACATCACAGAGTCCACTTGACCCCGAAAAACCTGCATATATATTCTCCGGGTCATACGGAAGAATCCATCCAGGTAGTGGATCACGTGCTGGTCCCCACTACTCACGTAGAACCTGACAGTCTCCACTTTGGGCCTGCATGCCCAGCCCAATGAGGGGACCTTGGCCCAGCGCTGGGGACTATAAATACCTTCTCATTAGAGAGGGTCGGGTATTGATCACTTCTTACTCACTCTTACTTGCTTGCATCATTCTAAATCTTGCTTTGATATCAGAGCCTCTTGTAGGTACCCCCACTTCACTCTCGACTTCTGCTCGACGTAAGTTGTGACGGTCCATTCTAGTCAGGTACGATCAATTATTATTATTATTATTATTATTATTATTATTATTATTATTATTATTATTATTATTATTATTATTATTATTATTATTATTATTATTATTATTATTATTATTATTATTATTATTATATAAATTTATAAAATTGAATAGTTATTTTAGAGCTATTAAAGTAAGAACTAAAAATTTAATATAAATAAAATTAAAAATTAAAAAATAGTTTTAGTAAAAAGATGAAAATTAAAGTGATAATAAGATATAAATTTTAGAAAAATAATTGAAAATTAGAAAGTTGTGGTAGGACAACACGTCATCATAATGAGAGCTTCCCTAAACTAAATACTTAAACGATAGTTATTTGTTAATCATCCCATCAATTGATTAATAATATCTTTATAATAAAAGACCAAAGATCTTATTTTCATCAATAAAATAGATAAATCTTAGATTTAACTAAAACAATATGCTATAATTTTTATACTTCATGTATAAAACAAATTATAGAGTAAATAATCATTACAAGAATACATTAATTTTTTAAATTATATACTGAGTCACACACCAGCCTCCTCCACGTCAAAATTAATAGAAAAAATTCGATTTAATTAGAGCATAAAAAACTCGGTTTTTATTTATAGGTACCGGACGGGTGTGGAGGATGCTAGTATCCGCCCAACACCCGTCAACTAAATTTAATTTGTTTCATTTATTTTTAATATATTTATTACTCATTTACACATTTTAATATTACAATATCATATTTATTAAGATTGTTATTTATTTTTTTGAAAATATAATTTAAATAAAAATATCAAACAAAAAAAATATTTTAAAATAATTAATTATTTAATTTAATTTTATAATTTTTGTTTTAACTGAAAAAAATATACATTTAAAAAAAATTAAAATTTATGCATGTGGAGACGGATATGGAAAAACCCGTTTCTTATTACGAGACAGAGGTGGAGAAATAAATAATAGCCCCGAATTTATTTGAGGCAGAGACCGATCTAAATTTTAATGACAGACGCAGATTTGAATATACTTAAACCTGCTCCTGACCCATCCGTTGTCATGTCTAGGTGTTACATTATCGCCTTTTAAAAACAATTTGTTTTTTTTTTTGAACCAAAATTATATGTATTAATTCAAAAAACCATTAAGTACAAAGTGCGATCAAAAGATCCAGCAAGCAAAAATGACTAGTATCTACGGTATAAGCACAGCTATATGCTTTCTTAGTTTTTTACTATACCATCCCCTATATATAATATTCTCAATAATATCCTCCTCTATTTTCTTTGTAACCAAGGTATTAAAGGTAATAGAATTCCTATGACACCAAATATCATAGAGGGTTTCCGTAAATCCAAGTTTGAGTAGAGCCCCTTTTCACCCTTTCATTTTCGTTTGAGTAATGACCCAGTCAATCTCCTCTTGCCAGGCAAGGGGAACGTGTTGAACCTCCATCCATTTTAGAATTTCTTTCCCTATTCTATCAGTGTTCTTGCATTGAAAAAATATATGTTCAATGGTTTCAACATACTCCAAACAAAGACTACAAATATCCTCTCAATAAAAACAATTTATTTTTAAAACTAAAAAATATAAAATAATACCATCGTTGAATAAAATCATAAAATAATAAAAACTACTTTTAAACAACAAAGTATTAACTGAAAACATATATAAATAAAATATTAATTTAAAACTTTTGATATTTTATTTTAATCATAAAAAAAATCTTTCTTCAAATTAGATAATACATAGTTTAATGTTTGTTTCGTTAAGCCAACTTACTTGTTAATTATGCAAAAATATTTAATTACTTAAATGCGACATCTAATTTTTTCACTTTAAAAGATAAAATTCTAACCATTAAATTACTAAAAATGTAGTTTAATCTTTTTATTTCAATTCATGCCAAAATAAATTTTAAATTATTTTTTCAAAAAAATGGAAAATATAAATTGTCCCCCAAATAAATATCACAAATTAGAAAAGAAAAAAAAATATAAGATAAAACATCTTACTTACTTAATAAAATATGATAACATTTTTTGAGGTTATTACTTTTAAGCTTATATGATAATATATGACTTGTTTGATAATAGTTTTTTAATTATTTATAACATCTCTATTTATAATTTATTTTACTAATTTATAATTTATTTTTTAGAGGCTATTTTAATTAATGTTTTATCTTATAATTTATAGTTAATTATTTTTTTTCATTTTTGTCCTAATTATTTTAATTAAAATCCATTATTATCTTTTAAAATACATTTTAATTTATAATAAAATAATTATATATTAAATATCTTTTATATCATTTTAATTTATTAATTAATTGAATTATTAATTTTATCAAACACTTCAATTAATTTATTAACTATAAATTATCATTCATTAGTTATAAACTAGCCATAATCAACTATTAGTTATAAATAATAAATTATCAATTAACTTATTTGTTAATCGCTATTTTATCTAACATGTTCAGAGGCAATTTCATCTATGTTGCCATGTCTACCTTTTCTAGAGGGTTCTCTTCCACCAACACCATCTGCTGACTGTTGCACTGGAGCTACTAATTTGTTCAATAAGGCAAACACAACTCCTGTTAAGAGAAGTGTTTGCCAATGTCTTAAAGATGCTTCAACTAAATTTGCATATAAATCAGATAGGGCTGCTCACCTTCCTCAACTTTGTCACATTCAATTGTCATTTCCAATTAGCGCTTCAACTGATTGTAGCAAGTATGTTTCTCTTCACCTTTTTTTATTAATTCATTCATACCCACTAGAATGTTGTGTTTTTAATTATAGTTAAATATGTTTTCTTTTTAAATTCAGTTTTAGTCTTATAAAATTATTTTTGCATACAGTTTTAGTCTCTATAGAAAGATTAAAACTACATGTAAAAGTAATTTTATAAGGAATAAAATTCATTTTTTTAATAAAAATTTAAAATTTTTTTTGTTAATTTTATAGAGATTAAAAATATATTTAATCTTTTTAATTATTATTCTAACTTATTTTTAATAATTATTTGCAGGATTCAATGATTCTACAATAAGATTAGATCGTGAAGAAATCTTGAAGAACTTCATGAAAGAGTAGTTTTTATTTTGTTTATGGTACTAGAATGCGGATTAAGATTATATCAATGAGCAATGTCAAAAACTTGATTCACTTATTATGAAATTTATAAATGAAAAATAAAATTATATTTTTATTATTTACTTTTTATTTTAAATGTTTATTGCTTGATATTTGGTAAGTAGAAAGTAAGTTTTTTTAATAAAGCTAAATATATAAATAAAAAAAGAAATTATAAAGGATTGAGGGGACATAAACTAAAATCAGCCAAACCACGAAATCAATTCGAAAGGGTATAAAAATAAATCAAAACTAATAAAAGTGGTGTTTATATTTTTAACAACTAAAGTAAAAGTGCACACACGACAAACATAACATGGCAAACTCGTTTACGGGCGCGAAACTAAATAGCAAAAGAAAGAGTCTAATATGAACATTCATTTTTCAACATGGTGTATACATTAACTGTCAACACAACCTAATTCACGAATCAACAACCTCTAAAAAAATCAGCAAAGAAAACGACTATTTCGAGTCCAACAATCCAACATCAAATTGAATGTTACGAATAAGAAACCAACCTCGCATCAATCCCGAAGACTGATGCAGATAATAAGTTAGTGTAAGCGCAGAGAGACAACCCTAAAATCTTTAAACCTGTAGATCTCAACAGATCTGAAGCCAATCTAAGAATCAAAAGCTCGGGATACCAACTCAGCACCATAAATACAAACTTGCAAAAGATCCATTGGAGAAGGAGCTTCCACAATCGTTGGAGCAACCATCGAAGAGAACACTGCAACCGTGTTGCAGCACAAATCAACCGTTGACGAAGACTCCGAATCTGAAGTACCTAGTTGGCGATCTGCCTGAAGTGATCATCGCTAGAACCAAACTGTAGTAAAAAAGAACCAAAGCCGACCAACCTAGATAGGGCAGAGGGTGGAACAAGAGTTAACCTCAGAAGATCAACTGTCTCTGAAAAACACCAAAGAAATGCTAGAGAAACCACGTCGGACAACCCAAGAGTGAAATGGTGGTGCTTAGGAGAGACATCATCACACCATCAAGTAGCTTAGCTACATGAATGAAACACAAAATTTAGATTTTAGGAAGACGAAGGATAGTCGGCGGCGGAGGATTTTGTTGTTGAAGAGAGAATAGAAAGTTATTTACGAAAACAAGTATAAAAAATATTAAATAAAATGTGAATTCAACTTTTATAAATAAATATATAATAATATATTCAATCAAATTAAGAAAAAAAAATACTCAAAAGCACATTTCGAGTCAACATTTCATAAATTCTGCCATATATATATATATATATATATATATATATATATATATATATATATATATATATATATATATATATATATATATATATATATATATATATATATATTATGCTCATGGCTTGTTGATTTTTAGGGGTGGATTTTAATTCAAAATCACAATCTTTCATAAAATTCATTTAACGAGGATATAATTATCAAGAATGTTAATGAAAGAATTTAAAAATTAAGAGGACCAATGATAGTAACAACCATCATAAAAGCAACACCAACATTATAAGGGAAAGATTTGCATAACTCCACCATTGGAACCCCTCGATGTTGGCCATCTAAATTACTTACATTTATTTTTGAACTAAATATAATGAGTGTGTGATACGGTGGCAGAACCGACTGTAATATTAGTTTTGCATTTGTCTTCCCAAAGTCGGAAGATACTCGATGCTACACTCATTGAGATTTGACTCCCGAGTTTTGTTTGGTTGCGAGTTAGTCGCCTATCGAACAAAACTTGTGGGAAAGATTGGTGATATTGAGATCCCTTAGAACCCGATTACTATTATAGGACAGGTTGAACCAATCCAACTTCAAGAGGGTACTGCCTTAAAACCCATGCAAGCCATAAACCTAAGGTCTTTGTGTTATTTTCTTGTTTCTTGTTATCTCTGTGATTTCTCAGCATAATCATGACATCATAACATGTCATATCATACTAACCATTTCAAGGATTTTCTAGGGCTTATCTTTGTCTTGTTTTGTAGGACATGACGTCCGTTCGCATGAACACTATCCAAATCAACCTTGTGAAAGTACATTCTCAACTCAAGGACTTAGCATCAAGGATTTCTAAAATCTCTCCCTTCACCGAAAAACATGTTCGACTCCTCAAATTGGTCACTTCAACCCCTGATGAAGAAATATTGAAGGTGCTCTTTCAATTCTTTGACCCGTTACACCACTGCTTCACTTTTCCTGATTACCATTTAGTGTCTACTATGGAGGAGTTTTCTCAGTTATTGGGGGTACCTATCCTTAATCAGCTATCGTTCAACGGTACGAAAAGAGATTCAAATCCTGAAGAGATCGCTCAAGCTCTGTCTTTACAACAGTCTGATGTAATGGAAAATTGGGAAACCAGAAGAAGTGTCCAAGGATTTCCAGCTAAGTTTCTATTTGAGAAAGCTCACTATTTTTGGGATAACTTGGATTTACAAGCTTTTGAAGAGGTATTGGCCCTTCTCATTTATGGGATGACACTATTCCCTAACACGGACCAATTCATAGATGTGAATGTGGTTAAGTTTTTTTTGTCGCATAATCCGGTGCCTACTTTACTTGGGGATATTCTACATTCTCTGCATACTCGCACTCTAAAGATAAGAGGGACCCTCCTGTGTTGCACTCCTCTATTGGCTAGGTGGTTTATTTCGCACTTACCTCGGTCTGTTTTGGGAAATTAGTATGGTATGAGATGGTCTCATAGGTTGATGTCCTTTACACATTCGGATATTCATTGGTGTTCTCAGTCCTTGGAGAGTGTCACCATCATTGGTCGCTGTGGGGAATTCCCTAATGTCACTCTCTTAGGAATTAGGGTAGGAATCACTTATAATCCTTGTTTGGCGCTGCGACAGATTGGTTATGCTAGAAGGGATGGTCCTCACGACACAGTCGTCCAAGGAATCACATTTGACTATGAGAATGACGTTTAGGGTTATTGTAAGAGGTTCATTCGAGCTTGGGGCATGATAAACAAAGTTGATAGCAAGACACTGGGGCACAAGAATTCCGTCCCTCTTAAGCCTTACCTCAAATGGGTGCGAGCATGTTCTCAATGTCTTATGATGCCTTACCCTGCCATCTTACCTGTGATTATGGAGCCGATTGTTGAGGGAGACACTCCTTACATTGTTTTTCAACCTGACATGCCGACTGATCTTGAGGAGCTACGGAAGTCCTGGATCCAACTCAAAGAAGAACGGGATACTTTCGAAACCCAATTCTACGCCAACGAGAAGAAGGTTTTAGAGCTTACCAGGTTACTTCACGAGAAGAAGAGTATAAATGCTTACATTGCACCAAAGCGGATGCGCCTGTGGGAAGCTTGAGTCTCTTTGCTTAGAGAGTTATTTTTTCTTTGTTATCTCCTTTATAAACCCAAGAGGCATTATGGTGACTGATAAAACTTCTTAATACAATTAACGTTTGTTCTCTTTTTGTTTAAGCAAATTTGAGTCTTAGAAATCCTTGAAAACATTGCATACATATATCATACATATCATTGCATGAACATGTTTCAAAAAAGGTTTCTCATCCTCTTCGCTGTTTATTTCAGCAATGGCTCTAGAACAAACAGTGAAGGATCTACAGACTCAGAATGCACAATTTCAACAGATGATCATGGCTCTGGCCAAGGGGAAAGAGGAACTGAAAGCCCTGATTGTTAAAGAGAAGACTAAGAAGCCAAGGAAAATGGCTATTGTGGTAAAGTTGGGAAGGAGGTTCAAAGGACCTCTAAGGCAAGTGGTTGAGCTGACATCTTCATCAAAAGAAGGAGATAACCAAGAAGGGGAGCCAAGAGAGGAAGACCCCAGTCCAAGGGAATCTGATAATGAGACTGATTATAATGAAGAGAAGTATCCTCCGGCCGACGAAAAATATAAACAGCTGGAAGAACGTCTGAGTGAAATGGAAATCCAGAAGGTGCCTGGGCTGGATTTTTAAGAGATGGGTTTGGTCTCGGGGGTTGTCATCCTGCAAAAGTTCAAGGTGCCCGTGTTCGTCAAATATGATGGGGTTTCATGTCCCAAAATGCACCTTCGATCTTATGTGAGGAAGATCCAGCCTCACACTGCTGACAAGGACTTATGGGTCCACTTCTTTCAAGATAGTCGGTCCGGAACTCAACTAGAGTGGTTCTACCAGCTGGAAAGGACCAACATTCATAATTGGGAAGACCTGGCTGCTGCTTTCTACAAGCAATATCAGTATAATGCAGACCTTTCTCCCACCCGTACACAACTCCAAAGTATGTCTATGGATTCGAGCGAGGGCTTTAAAGACTATGCTCAAAAGTGGAGGGACTTAGCAGGAAGGTTCCAACCTCCCCTGTCTGATAAGGAGCTAGTCGATATGTTTCTGGGTACCCTGTCTGGTCCGTTTTTCAATCACCTGACTGGAAGCTCCTCAGTTGGCTTCACTGAATTGATCTTGATGGGAGAAAGAGTGGAAGCTGGAATTAGGAGTCGTAAGATCCAGAAGGATGCATCCTCCAATACAATAAGGAAGCCATTTTCTGGGAAAAAGGAAGTCATTGCCACTTACAACCAAAGGAATCAGGACAGACCTGAATGCCACCCAGCGGTAGGGGCTATTATGATCTCTAAACCTGCACCTACTCAATAAAGGAATAATCAGCCTAGAGTAGAAAGGTCAGTAAGACAGTTTACCCGGATAAATATGACGTTGTCCCAAGTCTTTCCACATTTGTTGAAATCTAATCTGGTAACCTTGCAGGAAGCTCCAAAGAATCCTAATACCGCCTCTCCCCATTACAATCCAAATGCTCGTTGTGCTTACCATTCGAAAAGTCCAGGTCATGATACAAACGACTGCTGAGTTTTGAAAAACAAGGTGCAAGACCTTCTCGAAGCGAAGGAAATTGAATT